CTGTTGTTGTGTTTGTAGGCCCATCTCCCTGCCTATTCCCTTCCCCTATTCCTCCTCTCCTGGGGTGTAGGTTGGTGAGTTCCTCCACCCTCCTGGGCCGAACCAGCCCAGCAACCAGTGACACATGGACACACGGTGCTTGTTGTTTAAACATGGAGATGGATGAGGGGATTGCGCAGCAGCCGTGCACATGTTTCTTGGGACATCTTTAAGATGATGGCATTGCTATTACAGTAAGTAGCCCCACGAGAAACAGCCCTACATTCTGTGCTGTAAGCATTACTGCACGCGAGGGAGCAATGCAATTAAAACATGAGTGGTAAAGCAGCGTAAGGTGCCTTTCTGCTGGGAACACTGGAAGCGAAGTGTCTCCTATTCTGCTGGGCTTACCCAAGGATCCATTTCTTCACCCTGAACTCTGGCTCTCTATGTATTTTTGCTCGAAGGAATTTTGGCTGCTGCCATTATGGAAAGGAGCCTGTTGAATACAATGGGAAATGCTGTCATTATTTCAGAGTGCCTTTATGGTGTTTGTATACAGGACGTGTCTGTACAAGGACAATTTAAAACAAGTGGCATTCTGTCTCTGCTCTTCTCCATCTCCCCTCCACAATCTGCCATCCTCATTCTGCAGAGGAGTTCATAGTTCACGTGACTCTATTTTGAATGGGAACTACCCATAGCAGTGGGTTTTGGTTGATTTTTATTTTTGTTCTTTAACTTTTATAACTCAATTAAACATATTAGAAAATGATCCGATGGCAAAATACCTGCCCTAGGATTATTCATTACAGTCTTGGAAACTTTGCACTTATTTGAAATTTTCTGAGGAGATGGTGACTGCTGGTCGACTTCTCTGGATGTTTTTTGGGGGTGGCTGTTCCTTAGGTGAATTCTGGATCTTTAGAAACTCTGTGCTTAAAAGCCAGTGCAGAATCTCGGGAGCTGAAGGCTGTTATTTATCCCTGAAAGAGTTAGGAATAGAGGTTTGTTTTCCCCAGCCTCAAACTGAATCATCCGCCAAAAGAATTTCTGCTATTTTGAGCCCATTTCAGTCTACAGAGACCAGTAAATCCCTGATTTCTTTTTCCAATTGGCCATGGAGAAACCAGTAAGTGCTGTCTAGATGAGAATTCTTAGGATTAGGTGATTTCTCTAAAACCTGTTTCAGAGTCAGTTGCCTCACTGCAGGCAGACATTGGCCAAAAATGCATGTCTTGGCTCTGGAAGCAAGCACGGTGATGGAAGACACAGCAGGTGAGCTCAGCAGAGGTTCTCCAATGCTGAACCACACCACATTTGCTGTGGTAGAGTCTACAGCATCCCTGCCATGCTGCATATCAGACTTCCTGAAATAAAACCAGAGTAGGGGAGAAAGCAAAATCCACGTGGACCTTACGTAGGAGTTATTGAATTGCTTTGTTTGCTGTTGTGAAGCAATCACCTGTTGTACATGAGTATTAGGGGCATTTTATTTAAAATAGGCACCTTCAGAGCAAGGATTTGTGCCTGAATTCTTTACTGGAGGTTTGCAGAGCACTCTGGAAAGCTGTAGTGAAAATTGAACTGAGGGATTGCTTCAAGGCCACTGTCATAGGATCTAGGGCTTCCACCTGGCCGTGCTGTATGTCTGCCTGTCAAACCCGTAAGCATGTTATCAGCTAATGTGTTTCTTCTGGCTGCCTCCGTGTCCTTCAGTATAAGCAGTATATTTTCTCCAGATATTCAGATCCTCGTTATTATAAAATCACAAGGCTGAGATTTTTCCAGTGGGCCCAGAGGACACAATGTTATTTACAAAGCCCTTGCACATCAGGAAATTGGTGTCTCTGATAGTGTGATTTAACTATTTGGCCGTTACTATGGTGATTATCATTATTTAATCCAATCTTCCTTACCCCTTTTTGGCCACAGCCAGATTATAGCGTGAATGTTAAGATGTCAGAAACATAAACTTCTGCATCACCCAATTAAACAGAAAGAAATAGCCATTTCTAGGGCACGATGCGCCTCACTTGGAGGTGCGTAACTGAAATAGCGGAGATGAATCACACTCCAGATGTGTCTCTTTCTCTTTGCTGATTATAGAGTTCTGATGACTGGTTCAGATGCTGTATGGTAGACATCTAAAAGCACGGGAGATAAGTTCCTTTCAAAGTCTTTGGCTGAGGATATCTGTCCACAGTGTTTAGGCTCTGACTTGAAACCAAGGGTGTGAACTTTCTGGATTGAACAGCTCTTGTTGCATTTTCTCGGGAAATATACAGTGTTTTATCCTGACCTTTCTCTTGTTCTCATCCTTTGCTGCTGCAGACGTCAGGTTCTGTCTTTGTAACTCTGCCCTGAATGAGTCGGACGACTGCACAGATGCAGCAAGATGCCTTCCAAAATAAAAGCTGGACCTTTCAATGTCAGGTGCTGACATTTTCTCAGTGGACCCAGCACCTAAATTCTGCTGTCCCATCACTGTCCTGTTACTGCAGGCTGAGCTGTTTTTGTACTTTGGAAGGGTGAGGCATGCTGCCAGCTTCCTGGTGAGTGGATCCCTTTCCAGGGCTGAGGAAAGGACCAGCTGAATGTCCCTCTGGCAACACTGAGCACACAGCCCTGCTTTTCTGCACTCTCCACCAGCCCTTCTGTGCACCTCAAAGCTGGGCTTTGGAGCCTCAGGCTTGGAAATTTGCTTCTACAAAGTGGGCTAGGAGACTCTGAAGCACAGTCCCTCTGAAGCTTGGTTTTGGTGACATTTTTGTGGCAGCTCGTACTCAGATCTGCCTGTGTATGAAGTCTATGTCAGTCGAAGCAGAAAAAGCACAAATGCAGCTTCTGCATAATAGCTCTGCTCCTGGTTCATCATCAGTAAAAAGCTGACTGAAATACCCAATGGCGTTAACAAAGGGAATGAGTGTCAGGCCAACCCGATTTATTTTTTTATAAGATACCTGATTTTCTAGATAAAGAGAGGCCCTCTGCCTCGTCTCGTTAGATGAGTGCCAGATCGCAGTGAACTGCTGGTGGGCGGCAGCCATGGGAGGGAGTGGAGGTGCAGTGTCTCGCTGAGATGCTGTAAGGGAAATATTTCATGCTGCTTCACACATCCCTGGTAAGGTTTCTTAGGGAATGGTATTTACAGTTCTGATATCTGTATTCAAGAACCTTGTAGCCAAAATGCCCGAGTGCCTGGAGGGCTGCTGAAACACCGGGGAAGGGAGCAGCCCAGGGCTGGGACGAGGTGAGGGTCCTATGCCACCTGACTGCAGCCATCCCTGTATCAAATGCCTGACTGTAAGAGAAAGCCACTCCAATCTGTTAGGTGCCATCTGCAGTAAGTCCAACACATCGTGCCCACTGCTTGACTCTGAGTGGGAGCCTGTTGTTAACCCTTGCTGCTTTTATTTTCTGTTCTCTTATCCAGAGATCTTGTAAGGTTTGTACTTAGGAAGGCCTTAATATAATATATAGAGAAGCCGTGTTTCTTTTCTTAGATACTGCTTTTGTTATGTAAACCGGCCCTAATAACTGAAGAGCTGAAGCTGTAACTGCAATTGTCACAAATCTGAGAAACTCGATTTCTTAAAGGAAAGGCAGTTCAAGAGAAACTGTACATTAGGTCCTTTAATCTGTGGATGGAATTGCCCATGGGGACTTAAATGCTCTTTCACATTTATGTTGAGAATGCTGCAGCAGTGCCAGAAGATTTACTGCAAGTCCTTACTTTGCAGGTAGTTAAAAGGCATTTTTGTAAGCCAAACTTCTAGCAGAGCTGTTAAGTGCTCTCTAACCATTCCCCGTGCTTCTCCCCTTACCTCACTGTAGTGATGGGTTATTGCCTTTACGCTTCGTATTGCTTGCCTAAATTGAGATATCTGTGGCTGCTAATGTCTTGCAAGGGTTGTAATGGTTACAAAGCTGAGTTTACTCTTTGTAGGTTGAAATTTCTCTCTGGAGGTGAGCCCTAGTGCTCACTGAGTGTATCTCAGGCACCAGAATTAACAAACATGGCTTGGGATGGCTCTGACAAACCAGTCAGCACATGGATAACGTTCAGATGTGCTCGGTTGCTCTGACTGTTCTGTGCTGAATCCTTGCAGTGGTGGGGCACAAACGCTTACTACTCTGCTAAAACCTAAATGACTCGTTGCAAGGAGCAGCAAGTGTCCTGGGCACAGCTGGATGGTTTGTGTGATGTTGGGTGAGTGCCAGCGTTTGCATGAGTCCTTCTTGCAGGTGTTAGGTAGGAATTTGTATAAACCTGGGTGGCTTGAAATGAATGTGAGACTCACGGAGGTCATTGCCGTGCTGCTGGCCGGCTCTGAAGTGACCATACTCAGTAGGTCCCAGGGCACCGGGCTGGCCTTGGTGCCGTTCTGAGGGATGGATCTGCAACAGGTCGGCAGGTGTTCTTGTATGCTGTTCGTCTGCTGGGAACATTTCAAAACAGTCAGTGTGTCATCAACATTAGAGGAATACTAAGCTTACAGTTATACAAAAAGCGTTCTTCTACATGTTTGAAAGCTTTGCTTGACTTTGCATGGATTGCCTTCTGAACCTTGAGCTGTGACTGTCTTTAACCAAACAAACTTGTACTGAAACTGAAATTCCTTTGCAGGATGCCATTTTCTGCCTCTGTTGGGACCTCCCAGCTATGCCTTGTGCTGGCTGGCTTGGGCCCAAACAGGTGTGCATGCCCATGCCTGCAGTGAGCGTGGCGGTGAGGAGGGTGTTGCTTTTTCCATGCAAATAGGACCCCACATGCTGAACGTCCACATACCCACTTGCATGTGGGGAATGGTTAGGGGCAGAACAGCGGTCTGAGAAATGGCTGCAGACTGATCTGAATCGTGTTAATACTTCATATGAAGGCAAAATTGTTATGGATTGGAATGGGGGAAAAGTGTTTTCTTTTGGCTGAGCGCTTTCTTTCTGTGCTGCTGCTGCTGTGCATGTGCTTGTGTCAGGGAAACAAGCTCTTACTGACTCTTGGTTTTCTGTTCCCAAAGCTGATCAGTGGTGGTTCTATTGTAAGTGCTGAGGCAGTATGGGATCACGTCACCATGGCCAACCGGGAGTTGGCGTTTAAAGCAGGAGACGTTATCAAGGTGCTGGATGCTTCCAACAAGGACTGGTGGTGGGGTCAGATTGATGACGAAGAAGGATGGTTTCCCGCCAGCTTTGTGAGGGTGAGTGACCTTCTTGTTTTTTCTGCTTCAGCGAATTGCTGCTGTTGCTGCTCGGGTTGGTTGATGAACTGTTCTACTTATTGCATTTGTTGTCATTGGTGCTTATTTCCACTGTGCATGTTTTCTCTGTGAAAAAACAAGAAAGAAAAATGATTTTGAAAGACAATGGGAGTGGGGTAGAGGATTCAGGCATTGCTTTGTGCTCTTGGGATGTGGAATGCCTTTGCTGTATCTCTTAACCAGCTGCTGCCTCTCTCCTGAAGCATTTCTTTTTTGGAAAACCAGTTGTGTCATGCTAACTGTAAGTAAAGGATTGGGGTCTACAGGCAGCCAGCACTCAGGAGAGCAACCAGCTCTGTTTATTCTTTTAAGGAGACCAGGAACAATTTGGCTTGTCGCTGCTTTTTTGCTGAAGCAGGTTTTGTTGTACCTAGCTGTCTCCAGTGGCAACCCAGCCTTTCTGAAATGAAAAGGATTCAAGCATTTAATTTATTTTTATTTTTTTTTATCTGTACGTCTAAAAAAAGTGAAGGCACAAGGAGATGCCCTTCTTGCTATCATTGCTTCTGCTATGTTATTAGGGCTCTCTGGAGCCTTCCTCGGGGAGTCAAGACATCGGCGTTGACCTCGTGTGCTTCCTTCTCCTCTCATTCTGCCGAGGGTTTGAAAGGCAGAATCAGAGATTTAATTCCTTTAGAAGCTTAGGGTATCTGGCTCAGAAATGAAGATTTCTTTTGCCATGTGAAATTGTCTGAAAGATGACCCTCTGCTTTGAGCCTCCTGGGCAATTTGACAGCTCTGCAGCGGTCAAGGGGAAGACTTCTTTCTGAAACACACAGTGAAGACAATGCTGCATCTTAAAAAGACACCACGTTACCTTTGGTTCTCTGCCTGCCTTACCCCTCTTCTGAATCCTTCCTCTTTTGGGCAATCCTGCATCATCAAGATCCCTATTTAATTATACCACACCATACAGAAAGCAGCCACTAGGATTAGGAAAATGGGATTTAAAAATAATGACCTTGTGCTTCCTACTGACATACAGTAACTGATTGTGTGCTACTGCGTCCTTCTGATCCCCGGTGCACAATTTTGTTTTCCCCTCTGGTGCTTGTTATGCTGCTCTGATGTCTCTCCTGAGTTTGGCCAGTGCTGAGAGCGAGAGGAACTAAGCTCCCTTGGTGGAAAATGTTAGCACAAATCCCAGAATAAAAAATAGTGTTCAGTGTTTTGTTGAACAGGGCACTGCAAGGCTGACCCTGAACCCAGTGGAAATAATGAGCTTGGTAAATAGATTTGTATGAGGTGTGATCAAGACAATAATCTCATTGGGGGAAATATTCTCACCGGTGTCACAAGCACATCTCATCTGTGTTGCTAGCTGGGAAGGCTGCCTTAGACAAATCTGTCTCATTATTTTTCCTTGATTCAGAGACTGAAGTATTCTGGGCCAGTTTAATTTCTCAGTGCATTTACCAGTGATGTTTTGTTTGTGATTCAGGGGAAAAGATTTAATACCCATTTTTGTGCAATGTTGTAAGCGTAGTGCTCATGCTAGATTTAATAACAGCCTTGTTTTGCACTGCACTCTTTTCAAAAAAAAACAACCGGAGGAACAACTTAACAAAACAAACCCATTTACTCTGAGTCCCAAGCCTGTGGATCATCTGGCCTGGCTGAACTTTACATCTCTCCCCACGCTTTTCAGACACTGGGAGACTGTTTTTAGAAGTTGGTAAAAACAAAGGAGAGGAGTACATCAATCTGAGACTGTGAAACACAGAACAGAACGCCTGAAAAACAGCCTGGGATGAACCCTGGGACTTAGCTAGGATCATGATGGCCTTTCCAGGCAAACTTCTTGCCCATTTTCTCACTCCAATGAAATCAACCCTTTGACTCTGCAAGAAGTGGATCAGTTTCCAGTTGTGAGCCGCTCGTTCAGCACAGCCTGAGATCAGACACCTGCCCTGCAACCAAACCCCGTGCCCTCAAAGTTGGGAGCTGTGTTGGTTTGCTGGCATGAATGATAATTAACATTTCAAAAAAATGCACAGGTAGAGTTCTGTCACAGTTTGTCCACAGCTCTGTGAAGGAAGGCTGGAGGGGGAAATTCACCACTTGGCTTTCCAAACCTGAGCTGTCTTGTCCCTGCAGTGCTTGTTAGGTTGCAGCCACAAGGCAGCCCTCTTGCTGGCTGTCCTGCGCTGAGCAAGCAGATGCCATTTAGGCTGCCATGTTCTGCTCTCCTGCTGGCAGAGGTCGATTTCTTGCTTCTTCATTTCTATTCTTGCAGATTCCTTTTTCTCCCCTCCCACTTTACTTGCAAAGAGAGAGTAGCTTGGACCAGATGCCTGGAAAGCCATTGGGGCTTTGGATAGGCAACTGGAACCTCTCTTCTCTTTGCAGGATCATTGCAGTTTGTGCTCCTTTAGGGTCCTGTTAATGACCACTTAGCCCAAAACATTTACATTTTGCTTTCATCACCTTTTTTCTTCTTGTGTATTTCTTACTGAACTGGTCACACTTTCATGATGAGGAGGCTGGACGTTTTTTTTGTTGTACTTTGAGTTTTGCTTTTTTGACATGGTACCAGAAAGCTGCCTGATTTAGGCTGGAGGCTCTAGTTTTACACACATAAGAAAAAATATGTATTTTTTTCTAAATTCCATTTATTGGATTGGGGAGGAAAAGGGAACAACATGTAGCATAGCAGAGGATCTAAAGCAGTTAGAGTAAGGGGTGACAGGACAGACCAAATGGGTGTAAAACCAAACAGGGTTAATTTCAGTATGTTTTGGACTGCAGGTCTCCTTTAGATGCTAACAGAGGGTGCACCTCTGTTAGCATCACTGCAAAGTCAAATTTCTCTTGAAGTTGTTTGGATCTTTTCTGCATACAAACCTGGGCTGGAAAACATGGTTTGCAGTGAAACGTCTGACGCTTCTTGCTTTGCAGCCAGATCACATGAAAAGCTTTGGCAGAGGATTTGGCACTCACAAAACCTCATAGCAGGAAAAATTCCCATTTGTAAGTGCAGAGAAAAACAGCAACCTGCCGATTACCTTGGCCTCTTGTACATGCCTGCTTTGGAGGCAGGGGGTTGTAAACAAGTACTGCATTTGAGGAATGCAGGGGAATTGTTTCTGTGCAGAAGGCCTGCAGAGTTATCCTCTTAATAGTTAGAGAGTTGGCTAGAAGGAAGGAGGATAGCATAAAGCCAAAAAGCTTTGGGAGCGCAGGAATTTTAAAGGGTAAACTGGATGATAAAGCTTTTCAGGGAAGAGAAAAATCAAAGCATAGGAGAAGGTATGGAATTTAGTAAGCGATAGTGAATGGTTTCTTACATTCAGGGAGAAAGTTAAGAAAACCTTACATGATGAGAGAGGTGCATGAGCACTCCAGAACTAGCGTTAAGACCAAAGAAGGAGCTGGGTTTTGGGCAGGACTGCCTTGTATTTTAGTGTACATTACCAGGTGGGCACTCTGGATGGCACGGGGCACAAGTTAGTCCAGTGATTTGCTGGTAGTGTTTCTCAATGTCCTCTCCTCTGTAAGGGTCTGAGAATGGGGGAGGTACACCAAGAAAAATAGAGGATTTTTAAACAGGATTCTGTAGTGGCCATTTCATTTGTTTCTCTTCTCTCCTTTATGAATGGAATTGTCTTGGTCTGTCTTTTCATAATGTGGTGCAATTGAGTTTTTGCATGCCAGCACATCCAGCACCCACATGTGAGCTTAAAAAAAATAAGCTTAGTATTTGTAGGCAGGGATTTACAGCACAATAATACTCGAGTACTGCACATGGATCTATCAGCTGCCATACTTCAGGGTCTCCTTCATAAAACAGAGTCTCAAAACAAGGCTTTGATTACAGAACCCAGCACTGTACTCCAAAATGGCTGGGGCACAACCAGCTAGATGGCATCCTTCTTGGGCTCTTATGCATTTCCACTGGAAATAAAATGTAAAATCAAACCATTGCTGATGCTTATTGCTGTGAAGTCTTTCCCTAGAGATAGGCACAGCAAAATACATACAGCCTGGACAGAGAAAGGGATTGCTTTTGTTGGATACCTAGAGGCAGGCTGAGTTGCTGGAATGTGCTTGCTTGTACTTCAGCAACTCTTCCCCCTATTTGCCAAGCTAACCTCAAGAGCACATAGGGTTGGGGAGGTTCTGCTGCAATGTCTTGTAGCATTCAGTGACTGCTCGATGTTCTGGGAACTGAAGGGTAATGATCCTGCTGTGGTGTTCACATTCCCCCTGGTCAGTGCCCCTTCCAGGGCAGAACACACAGGGATGGATCAGTGAAGCAGTGCTCCTTCCTATCATTCATCTTTGCTTAGATCTCCAGGTGTTGTAATTTTACGTTGGTTTTCCTGCTGAAAAGCTGGAAAACTTTACTTTTGGTTGATAGATGAGAAGTGCTAGATCAATTGGTGGAAACTTTTAAGGCACTTTTTAGGAGACTGCACCCAAGTCTTCTCGTAGTGCTTAGCACCACCTGCCGTGGCATCAAGGAGAGATGGGAGAGATGGGAAGAGGGAGAAGAGGATGGCACTGAATGGCCTTTACCTGTTGGACAAATAAAACGTTGTGTGCTGCAGTGTCTGCTGCAGCATCAGTGCCTTTTAAAGGAGATTTTATTCTCCTGTGACAAATCCAGCACAAAAATAGCTTCTGGTGGAGGTACCGCACGCAGCGTGAGCAGTACTCCACAGTGACAGGATGCACTGCAGACAAATTGTGGGGCTTTTTAAAGTCAAGCAGCATTTTAGCATCCAAACACTGCCTGTGCTAATTGCAACTGTCATTAACGTGACAGGGAATGCCACTCAGCTCAGCATCTGTCAGATCCCCAGAGGTTCAAATGCAGGCACTTGGGCCCTTCCTCCTACAAGCTGGTTTCTGGGCGCAAATGCACTGTTTTGAGGCCGTTCTTTCAATTGGACACAGATCTTCACAGCCCCTTCCCTGTTCTCTGCCAAGCTAGTGTG